AACAAGTGGAGTCTGAGTTTGGGGCATCTGGAGAAATACGGTATAGGACCAGTCAGACTCCCCTACCCGCCTCCCTGCTGGAATAGAACAAACCAGAAAAACACACATCACCTGTGACTGCAAATGTTCTAGGACCTTCAGCTTTTAAAAACTTAAAATCGATGAAACTAATTTAATTCAGTATTTTGACTTAACCGTCTATATTCAAAATATTATTTTTTCAGCATGTAGTCAATCTTTAAGTTACCTTCTTTATTCCTTTTTGAAGAGTTTTTTATTTATTTATTTGGAAGGCAGACTTGCAGAAACGGGGAGGCAGAGAGGCACCTTCTACTCACTGGTTTACTCCACAAACAGCTTATAAGGGCCAGAGCTGGGCAGGAGCCAGGAGCTTCTTCCAAGTCTCCCACATGGGCACAGGGTCCCAAAGCTTTGGATTATCCTCTACTGCTTTCCAGGCCAGAAGCAGGGAGCTGGAAGGGAAGTGGAGCAGCCAGGATATGAACCGGCGTCCATGGGGAATACCGACACTGCAGGCAGCAGGTTAACCCTCCTTGTCACAGCACCAGCCCAATCTTCTTTATCTGATGCCAGCTGAGATCTGTGTGTAATCCGTGAGATTACGCTCACGGAGCATCTGCATTCAGAGTCTGACTTGAAGCACTCAGTAGGACAGTGTGGCCGTGGCCACCAGGCAGGGGCCGCTGACTCCTCTCCCTGTCAAAGTTTCCAGGCTGTGCAATTCACACTGTCAACCACCACATCCTCTCCCTGGCTCCACCAGCCCAGGACTGTGCAGGCTTGAGACTTGTCAGCCTCGAGGTCACGTGGGCCAAAGCCTTAAAATACCACCAGCACCATAGCATAGTGGGTTAAACCTCTGTGACGAAGGCATCCCGTATGGGTGCTGATTTCAATCCTGGCTGCTTCATTTCCCTTCCAGCTCCAGGCTAACTGTCTGAGAAAGCAGCAGAGGATGGCCCAAGTTCTTGGGATCCAGAAGAATCTCCTGGCTCCCAGCTTTGGGTCAGCCTACTTGTGGCTGTTGTGGCCCTTTGGGGAGTGAACCCGTGGATGGAAAATCTCTCTCTCTCTCTCTCTTTCCCTCCGTAACTCTGCTTTTGAAATAAAATTAAACTAATCCTTAAAAAAACCACAACCTCTCAGATGCAGACCCCCAAGTACCCGCGCACACATACATGACCACACAGCTGCAGGACTTTGCCACGCACTACAGGAGTACAACCCACCACGCACAGGCTGCCCACCCAGCGTGGGGGCCAGAGCAACCAGATGCAGCGCACGGGAGACAGCCGAGACTCTGCCTGCCTAGCCTGGCTGCCTCACCTCCACCTCCAAATGGCAAATCCGTCTCGCGGTGACTTGGTGACTCAAGTGTCGCCTCCCGGGCACGCCTGTAGATGCTATCCTTTCGCTGTTTGGCAGTGCAGAGGGCTAGATCCCACTAGCATCGCCACCTATGCATGCTTGATGCACCGTGTGTCAGCGTGATGGCGGCCCGAAGCGCTCCTGCTCACCCAGGATCTTACAGGAACAGCACAGGTGCTGCTGTGACCACGTGAACTCTGGGGTGGGGTAGGGTGGAGACCACGCCCCCAGCCTTGCAGGATCAAGGGCTGAGGCTGAACAGGAATCCATGCTCCCCTGCCGCCCAGGGCACCTCTGTCCCCACACAGTCACCTCCGACCTTACTCAGCCCAAGGGCGTGGGAATAGAGTGGGAACCACACTGGGAGGAGGCAGCCCTGTGAGGCCCCATGGCGCAAAGTCCCCTGGGCACAGAGCCCCCAGAGCCCAGGCCCCTGGCACCTCGCTACTCCAAGCCTCCTGCCAGGATGGCCATGTCACCGGACCTGCAGTAGCCAGAGTGAATCCCCTAAGGCACGCAGCGTGCCACTGCTGCATTCCCAGGCCCCCTTCCTGCTTCTCTGAGACCTCACCGTAAAGCTCAAAAGCTTCGTCGGGGCCACAAGCCATAAGCTGTGCGTGACCCGGCCCCAGCTGCAAGTTACCAGCAATGTGTGATCAGGACATGGTCAGGCCAGCCTGCCCCAAGTCATGCACAGGCAAACCCCATCTTTACCAAGACCTGGAATGTTGGCTTGTAGCCCTAGAGCTCTGAACCCATTCCTATGGCTCATCTCCCCCCAATTCCTCACCCCAGGGCAATTGCTAGCAGTTCTCCCAAAATAAGTAACAGAGGCCCAGAGAGGATTCCCAGCTAGGCAAGGGGCAGAACCAGCCCCAGACACCCCCAAGTTCAAAGGCCATGTTCTCTCTGGGCTGGCCAGCGCCCGTGTGCAGCCTTTGGGTAATAGCTCCTGTTTCCCAGGGCTGCCGCAACGGTGAACCAAGAGCTGGGCTGTGTGTCGGTCTCCACAGAGGTGCTACTCAGCTTCGCCCTGTCTTGGGCGGGGGCCCCCCAAGACTGCACTCAAGCCCATTCACGCAGTCAGGGCAAGTGTAATAGCCACCTTTTCCGTAACGACCAGGTGCTGTTGGCTGGCGTATTTCTTTCTCCTTGAACTCCTGCACAGAGCCTTTGCCAGGTTCAGCCTCCTTAAGTTGGCCCAGAGATGTGTCAGTCACCTCCCAGCTAGGTGCCTAGAACCCCCACCCCAACAAAAGACCCCGGCAAGAACCAGTTGCACATAGCCACCCATCACAGACACAGGCTTGGCAGGGGCAGGCGCTGGCCAGGGGGTGGGCCCAGCCATGCTAAGTCTGGCCTGGGCCAGCATTCCCCAAAAGCCCAAGAGATTCCTCAGCGAAGGGCGGGAGGCTCTTCCAGGCCCCAGGGGAGCCAGGGCAGCCAAAGCGGGAGACCTCCGGCCTGGAACCCACCAGCAGCTATGACCTCTGCAACTATTTGAAACCCATGGGTCCCTCGAAACCTGGCACTTACACCAACACTGTGGGGCTTGGGCCAGCGTGGGTGCCCTGAGTGTCAGGAATGGGTGGGGGCCGGGTGGCTTTGGGGAGGGGGTTTTCATTCCCTCGTGCCACACTATGCTGGTATTTTCAGTACAGATGCTGTGGTCTCCCCCCATACACAGTGGGTTATTTCCCAGAGGTGGAGAAGGGAGTGTGGATGGTCAGGGAAGGGGTCCAAGACACTTTGCTGATGGGTCAAGCCACAAGGAGGTGAAGGAATCCCCGTGAGTGAGGGGCAGAGCCAGGATCAGGACCTGGAAGGCCAAGGGGGGGCAGGAGGATGGGGCAGGAGCAGGGTGTCTCTCTGTCACAGAGCTGGAGCTCTCTCAGCCCTCCCCTAGGGTGACCTTGGACCCCTCCCCTGGCCATCCGGTCTGCAGAGATGGAAAGTGGGGGCTCACCGGGGTACTGTAATGACCCAACGCTAAGACAGCATGCAGTTTTCCCCAACTCCAGGCCCCAGTTTTACAGTGGTGAGATGGGTTCCTGCTCTATGAACCCCCATCTTCACAAGGGGGGAACCCTGGCATCTGGGCTCCATCTGCACCAATAAGGGCTCCGCGAGGGCAGAGGGGCGCCCGGGGGCATGCCCAGCTTGGGGACATCGCAGTCAGCTCCACCTAGACAGGTGGCCCCAAGGCATGCACAGGCAAACCCCATCTTTACCAAGGCCTGGGGAGTTGGCTTAGCAACCCATGGGCTGCCTCCTGATTGGACAATGAGCTCAGAGGGGCTGCCAAGAGCCAATCAGAAGTTTTCAGTTTCTGGAGGCACTTGCCTCCGGAATCCCCCACAGCACTAGTAGCTGGGCTCCTCACCACTTCTGAACTTGGGTGGCTTTGGGCGAGTGTGGCAGTCAGGGGGCTGGGTGGGTCAGCTCTGGCCATTTTGTCCACACCACTTCCTGGAGCTCCCACAGCCCCACCGGGCCCCTCCCTTCTGCCTATCCTCCCACCACCACCACCACCACTTTCTGGTCTAGCTCACACAGGGCTGACCTGTCCCGGTCCCAAGGGAAACCCCTGGGAGGCAGCAAAACATCGGGCTCCCATTGAATGTCATACCACCCCTCGGGCTCCGCAGGACACACACTGACCTCTGAGTGGCATCCCCCCCGCCCGCAGTCTGGGCCAGAACCGGTGCCCTAATCCTCGCCCCCTGCCTATCCCTCAGCTGGCACATCCTTTCCATCACCAGGTGCCATCCAAATCTGAGCCCATAAACACCGCTCACAGCGATCCCCTCCTCTCCGGCCCTGTCACGCTGCTCCCTGCCAGGGTCCTCAGGCCTGTCCCCAGCCCAGGAGCCTCGCCCAGGGCACCAGGACCGCCCAACAACCCAAGCCCCCACCGCCCCTAACCAGGCTCCTCCCTTCGCACGCCTGCCAGTGTCTTGGCTAAGCGTTCAGGCCAAGTAGCCTTCGCTCCTGGGCTCTCACCCCCATCCCTCTGCATCTTTCCCCGTGTGAGGTCGATGTCATGCTTGGAGGTATGGACGGGTACCAGGCTCTGTCCAGCGTCCTGGACCCACTCGGGCAGCCCCCTCTCCTCTCCTTCCGTAGGCAAAGACCTCCTTTAAGAAGAAACAGCCCCTCTGTGCTCTCAGCCAAACCTCATCTGGGGCATGGGCACCCAGACCTGCCTCGCGGTGCCCAGTACCCAGGAACCACTGAAGATCTGTCGAAGGCGAGAAAGAGCCAGGAGCGAGTGTCTGGGGCCACAGAGAAGACACTAGTGGGGACGCCTGTGAACCCCAAACGGAAGTGTCCGGGTTCAAGTGCTGATGTGCAGCCGTGGAGGCTGCAGCGACAGATTCGCATTGGGTTCCCTCCCGCCCTCGCATTGGGTTCCCTCCTGGCCCAGTCCCAGCTCGCGAAAGCAGCAGGGTGTCCATTGCTAATCTCACCCCGCTGCAGGGCTAGTCGAGCTGTGGGCGCGGCCACGCTTGACGGATGGGCCCGAGACCCACTGGGAGAGGACCCCGGCGAGCCGCCCCGCCCTCCTGCGCTGCGATAAGGCGCCCGGCGGCGCCGCGGCTGCCCAGGCTGCTGCAGAAGCGCGCTCACCTGCTGCAGGTGCTCCCGGCCGACGCGCACGAGCGAGCGCCGAGAAGATGCTACGCGAACGGACCGTGCGGCTGCAGCACGGTAGCCGCGTGGAGGCGGTATACGTGCTGGGCACGCCGCTGTGGACCGACGTCTACAGGTGAGCACCCGTGAATCCCTCCAGACGCAGCACTAGGGGGCCCAGATGCCGACACCCCCTGCACCCCGCAAGGAACCCTGAGACTCCTTCGGGGACGTGGGCAGCCTTCCTCCAGCTGCCCCTCATCCCTGGGTCCCCGCACCCGAAAGCCGAATCGCTTCGACCCTGAAACCCGACAACCCCCCATCTTGTGTCTACTTACTTGCCCGAAGTCCCGAGACCGTCCCGGGCACCCTGACACAGCCTCACGACCGCTGCCTCCCTGCGCCCCCGGCCGCCCACTGCCACTCGCTGCGGCTCCGCCCTCGCGCAGCTTCCCTACCGCCGCACCCCTTTCACTTCCCCACCGCCTTCGCCTCGGACCCTCCTGACTCACTGCCCACCACCGCCTCTGCTCCCCATGCCCTGCCCTCTGAGACTGGCTGGGTACTGGGACGGCACCAACGAAGAGCTTTCCCGGAAGGAGGAATCTGGCCTTGGGGATGGCCAGGGCTCCGATTTCGCCCTGCAGGGGCTGCTAATGCTTACCCTCCCCAAGTACTGCCCTTGAGTTCTGTGTCCCCAAATGGCTTTCCCTGACTTTGCTTGGGAACCAGAGAGGGGCCGCAATCCACCTGCTGAGGGAATTGGAGCTAGAATCTTTGGAGAGCTCTCCGGCTAGGGATTCTGTCCCCGCCCCTCTTCCTGAACTTGGCAGAATTCCTGGTTTTCTGAGACAGCAGGCCAAGGGGTAGAGCCCTAGCACCACCCCAGGCAGGCCCCAGGATGCAGCCAAACCCATGAGCTGCTCCCCCAGTGTGCAGGCTGGTGAGAATGAAAGGGTGGTTGGGGTCCCCCATGGGGTACCACCCGAGTTTAATTGGTAGCCTCTGCTCCAAGCATTTGAAAGATTCCCCTTTGCAAGGGTGGCAGGGGTCAGGGCTAGAAGGCAGGGCTCTGCAGGGACACCATATGCCGCTGACCAGGGTGTGTCCCCTAACTGCTCTATGCCTTGAGCAGTAGGGTCCCCCAGCCAAGGTACCACTGCGCCTTAGTTTTCCAAATGGTGCCGAGCCCTGAAACACCCATGCCCACCAAAGCCCCCTCCCCCCCTACCATGTGTCCCCTCAAGCTGTCCCCCAGCCCATTCTCTCCACCTCCTCGGCCCCCGCCACAGGTGCCCACCACGCTGAGACCACCACACACCCTGGCCCAGGGATGCTGCTTGCTTCCTCTGCCCCTCCCCGCCGGCCCCCCCAGGACGGAATGATGGTCTCTATCGGGCAGCAGGGAAAATGTGGTCACAGGGCCAGCAGCCTAGGAGAGCTCACCTCCTCCCCCACCCCAGCTCTGACCCCGGCACTGCCAGGGGATGGGGCAGGAGCCAGGATGCCGAGGTCTCTAAGCCTCAGCTGTCACCAGACCCGCCTGTTTGTTTGCTGGGGCACTTTTAGTGCCACCTGCCAGGCTGGCCTGGGGCCTCCAGCGGGGCGGGGCGGGGAGCAGAGGAGGGGCTCTGCTCAAGGCCCCTGCCCGCCCTCGGCAGGTGAGCATCTATGTCTCTGTGACAGCTGCCTCTGTGGCACCTCCAGATGCCAGCCACGGCCATGGTGCCAACAGCCCCCTACCTGCACCTGGGAGCCGCTCAGAACCCGGAGACGCAGAGCAGTCTAGGCCAGCCCTGTGGAGAGCAATGGCATACATGAACTGCAGCTGTCACTGCAGTGCTTCAGCTATCTACATTTTTAAGTTCAAATAAACAGGCATAATTAATTTGAATGATAGCTCTTGATTAGCCCGATAGAGTCAAAACATGAGCTCCAGATGTAATCAAGGTGTGAGTTATTAGTGAGACAATTTGCCTTATGTCTTCTGTGCTAAGTCTGAAATCCACTGGAATTGTTACACTCAGACATCCCCTGGAACCCAACAGCCACGTGGTCCCGGCAGCGAAGCCTGCAGCAGACCTTCGTCTGGGCCTGAGTGCATGTGGAGCTGCGTAACTTTCTTGCATTTTTAAAAATTACGTATTTACTTCTTTTTTTAAAAAAAAGATTTATTTATATTAAAAAAGCAGATATGCAGAGAGGAGGAGAAACAGAGAGGAAGATCTTCTGTCCAATGATTCAACTCCCCAAGCGGCTGCAACAGCTGGAGCTGAGCCAATCCGAAGCCAGGAGCCAGGAGCCTCCTCTGGGTCTCCCACACGGGTGCAGAGTCCCAAAGCCCTGGGCCGTCCTCAGCTGCTTTCCCATGCCACAAGCAGGGAGCTGGATGGGAAGCGGGGCCGCCGGGATTAGAACCAGCGCCCATACGGGATCCTGGCATGTTCAAGGCAAGGACTTTAACCACTAGGCTATCGCGCCAGGCCCCACATTTATGTAAGAGTCAGAGAAACATAGAGAGAAGGCTCCTACCTGCTGGTTCTCTTCCTTACGTGCCCACCATAGCTGGAGTCAGGCCAAGCCGACGTTTAGGGGCTGGGACCCCAATCCAGGTCTCCTGGCTGGGTGGTAGGAGCCATCATCCCTGCCTCCCAGCATCTGTGTTATCAGAAAGCCAGGTACCCCACTATGGGATGCAGGTGTCCTAACCATTAGGCCAAATGCTGGCCCCCAGAGAATTCCTTACTGTTGGGGCACTGCCTTGGGCATGGCAGGACATTTTATGGCACTTCTAACCACACCCGCTGTCCCTGTCCCCAAGCTGTGTAGGCCACAATCAGCCACTGTCATGCTGGCCACAGCAGGACACATTCAGGAGCGCCGGGATCCAGGGACGTGCTCTCGCTCCTACTCTGGCTCTGTCCTAACTGCAGGGTGCTCGGGTGATGATTCTGTGTCCCATTCTGTAGATGAGGAAAGTGAGGGTCAGAAACCCGAGGTCATTTGCCCTCAGTCACACGGAGCTCAGGCCTAGGTCCATCTGCCTGGATACAGCCCCAAAACCAGCAGACTACAATACACCACTCTCATAGCCTGTGTCCCCACCCCACCTCTGTCCCCTGAGACTTCATTCCCAGTTGGTCTCCACTTCCTGCAGAGTTCTTCCGGGCCCAGACATAGGCTGGGCCCTCTGAGGGGACCCTAAGGAAAAAGGTCTGGTGGGCTGTGGACCCCTTCGGTGGGATATGCTATGAGTCACAAAGGGAGGTGAGTCACCCTAGCAGCTGCCTGCTCCCCTGGCTTCAACTCCCTCCCTGAGCTGCACCTGCAGCGTCTTCCGCTTAGACCCACAGCGGGGGGCCCCTGACCTGTTCCTCCTCTGCTCTGGTGCCCTGGGAGGAGCTGTCCTCCCTGGATGAGCCCCCTCTGCCCTTCACTGCAGGTGCTCAGGGTGAGGATGGATTCCAGGTGCTGGAAAGGCTGTCGGGCAGTGCGAAGAGGAAGGCTTGAGGTTCCCAATCCCTTGCTGTGTGATCTTGAACAGACACCTGCACCTCTCTGAGTATACAGCAACCCAAAATGAGATTCTGCCAGAGGACATGGATAGCACACACCGCACCCCATGATAAGGCCACGGTGTTGAGCACCCAAAAACTGCCACCAAGAGTTCATCCAGGCCACCAGGGTGCTGTGCACCCCACTCTCTCTCCCAGAAAGACTGGTCCCTTCCATGGCTGCTGGTCTCCCGCAAGCCATGAATATTTGCAAAGAAAGAAGGAAGTAGGATTTTTTTTCTAGAGAATATTTAGTGATCGTTATTAAAGATACTTGCTGTTCTTGCTGCTGCTCCCCAATATATTTGCCCTAGAAATGGCTCAGGTGCACCTTACCTCACGCCCCCCACCCCCAGGAGCAGCCCCACACCTCCATCTCCCTAGTGACAGCCCTAAGCCCCCACCCCCAGGGGCAGCCCCTGGGTCACTGGGACTGCCCTGGGCCCTCACCTGAGTCATACTGACACTGGAGTCAGAGCCTCCACTGCCCCCAGCTGATCTCCCCCGTCCCACTCACCCATGGTGACTGTGCCATGCTCAGGAAGTGTGGGCACCCCAGGAGCCTGGAAGGAATGCAGAGAGGGCAGCCTTGGAGTAGAGTGGAGGCCACTTACACTGCTGTCCCCCCGCTGACCCCCAAGACCTGGCCTTGGAAACGGCATCTTGGTTGGTGTCTTGTCTGGGGTTGAGCATTCTGGTTACGGCCGGTGTCGCTTCCTCTACATCCTGAGGTCCAGGGATGGAGAATAGGTGACCACCACTGTCTCCTGCACCTGCTGAGGGGGCACCCACTCACGCCTGAGCACACCTGTGAGGTAGGGGTGGGGTGCTGCAAGGCGCTGCCCCTGCTCCTTGCCCAGGAGTCCCCAGGTTATAGGCTGAGCTGCTACTTTGCTCGCCCACCACTCTCTGGCAGAAGACTGAAAGAGGGTCCAGGGCAGCGTTCCTAGACTCAGATAACATGTGCAGGAAGCGGAGAGAGAACAGGTGTACATCCTACTTGGAGATGAGCCTGGAGGACCTCCCTCCCTCTCCCCCACCCCGTCCTCTGACTGTCCCTCCAGTCTTTCTCTATCTCTGGCTGGGAGCAAGTGCTGGAAATGCATTTACTTCCAAAAGTCTCATCAGGGCACAGGCCAGGAGGGTCTGAAGTCCAGTTTGCAGAGCTGAGATCTTGCAGTGCCAAGGGGTCCTCCACAGTGCGCCAGGTCCTGCCTCACCGGCACTGTCCCCTGGCAGGTCCCCTGCACAGGCTGCATGGCAGCTATATTGGCAGTGTTGGTGCTCTTGGCCTTCGTAGGCATCAAACACCCGGCCACCTCAGGGCCTTTGCACATGCTGTCTGAGCAGTCCCAGACTGACACCTGTCAGTCAAGCCTCAGCTCCAATGCCCCTCCTCCAAGCAGCTCTCCTGACCCCCGCCAAGCGTGTGGTGGTGCCCCAAGCCAAGCCCCAGGCATCTCAGCCTCGTTGTCCATTTTATTTTTCCTTTGCAGATCAGCCTGTTCCTCTGTCACTGTGAGTGGCCTGTACTTGTGTGCCAGGCAGCCTGCTTAGCGTGATGCCTGCTCATCCCACGTGT